TCTGTGGGCTTTCTATTGATCTTGCTAGCTATGTCCTTTGCCATGCAGAAGCTCTGCAACTTCATGCAATCCCATTTGTCCAACCTTTCTTTGATTTGTTACACACCCTTAACTTTTGCAAAGGAGAATGGCTCCTAGGCTGATTTCCACAGTATGTAGTGTTCCTATGGTTAAAGGGGTAGACAACTGAAAGGTGTTACTGTTTGAGGAGAAGCTGAATCATGGGTCATGTACCTAGTAACTAATTGGGAGTCAGGATGAAAACTCCTCCTATGTTTTTCTAACCATGTCAGTTAGTGATACTCCCTTGCCATATATTTACTTACTTGATTCCTTTTGTTAATTCTCTTTTCAGATATTTTCTCTTAACTTTTTCAGTATTACCTAATTCTTTTTTTCTGTTTTGTTTAATTGTTTAAATTGTTATTGTAAAGGTGATATACAGAGGGGTTACAGTTACATGTCAGGTAATGAGTACATTACTTTTTGGACAATGTCACCTCTTCCCTCACTTTCTCCAGTTTCTCCCTCTAGAGAGAAAGTTTCAGGGAAGTGTCTAGCTATAAGAGAGTCTCTTGAAAACTCTAGCTCATGGCCAGGCTCTGGTGACTCACACCTGTAATCCCTCTGAGGACCACAGTTCGCAGTCAGCCCAGGCAGGAAAGTCCGTGAGACTAGCTCATGGCACTAGCCTTGAGCAAAAATCTCAGAGACAGCACATAGGGCCTGAGTTCAAGATCCAGGATTGGTACAATCTACACTGTCTCTCGCTTGAGAAAATTGGTCTTAAAGGTGTCGGGGTCCAGGGGAGCCAGCAAGACATCTTGGCCATAAGCAGAGAGGTGCATGATTCAGACCTAGACCAAAAGCCTATCCCAGCTTCGGTCAGGCTTTGGATCCACGATAAGGCCTCAATGCTTCCAGATCTTTCTCTTAGAGAGCTGTTCTGCCAATGAGGTAAAACTTTGCAGAGAAAACCAGAAATGACTTCTGAATTTTTGAGTCTAAGAAACCACTAATTGCAAATGGGACTTAGCATTACACTATCTGTTTTTTGACAGGCAAGAGAAAAAATACTATTAAAATACCTCATATCAGTTGTTAAAGATACTCTAATTTGCAAATGTTAATGTTCTCAGTTGTTACAATTGAGGGGAGAGCTATTAATTTTTTAATACATTTCTTTATTGTAAAAATACTGTACAGAGAGGTTACTGTTACATGAGCAAGGTAATGAGTATATTTCCTATCAATTTTGTTACCTCCTCCTTTGTTTTCCCCCTACCCTCCCTTTCCTCCACAACTACTGTCTTTTTGTTGTAGTTGTTGTGATGGGTGGGGCTTGAACTCTGGGCCTGGGGGCTATCCCTCAGCTCCTCAGCTGAAGACTAGGGCTGTACCACTTGAGTCATAGCGATACTTCCGGTTTTCTGAGTGATTTTATTGGACTTTTCCTGCCCAGGCTGGCTTTAAACCATGATTCTCAGATCTCAAGTCTTCTGAACAGCTAGGATTACAGTCATGAGACACCAACACCCGCAACACTGCCTAATTTTGAAACAATGAAAAAAAG